GTGGAGGATGGGGGAGAGAGCCCTGTGAGTTGAGAAGCAGGCCTTTCTTGAATGTGTAATAATATAAACAGGGTAAAATTCATCTTTAAAACTCATAAGGATTCATGACTGCCTTAGGAGAAGAGAGCTGTGGATATACCCAAGTCTTTCAATTATTTGTAATCAAGACACACATGCAGCCCCATTTTGGTCATTTGTTAGAAATTATTTGACTAGGTTTGTGCTAATTAACTCTACCACTGAAGTGCCTCTGGATAATCAGAAACATGCCAACAAAACGTATTAAGAGAACAAGGGTCATCTCTAAATGTGAACTTGGAAACACTCATTTCAAGCATTTAAGACAAACTTTACACTGGACACATAATGTATAGCAAGTTAACTTATTAACATATATTCATTCTCTTGGAGCTTTTCTAAGCTTCTGGAGCTCAGGATGGCACAAAAAGGGGCTGAGGAGACTGAAGACCACTCTCCCTCAGGGTCAGGAAATTGACCCCCTCAAGTTCCCCCTTGTCCAGGAGGATTGGACTTGGTGACCCAAAGAGTGATAGAGAGAAAATGATCTTCCAAGACTGGAGATGTGGGAGTGGAGTGAGAGTGGATTCCAGTAAGGCAACGCCCTTGTTCCTAGCAGTTGCTGTAGAGGAGAATCACAATGAGCAGAACCTGGCATTGTGCCCTGGGGGTGCAACCCTAGCTATGAGGTTTCCCCACCTCTGCTAAGACACCATCAACGAAGAGAAAATGGATTCGACTTCTGAAGTAATAAGGGCTGCACAGTGAGCAGTACAGGCGACCTCCCTGAACATTCTAAATTGGACCAGGCTTTCAGGGCCCGGGGCAGGCAGGGAGGAAGTTCCTATAATGATGGAACTTGAATTTCCCACCTTTTGGCAACTGGCAGTTTGCAGCTACTTGGTGGCTTTTGATAAGCCAAATGTAGTGGAATAAAATTGTACCTACTACAACAGTGTACAGGAAAGCAAAATATTAGCTTAGAATGAATGGTCATGGTGGGTGGAAGAAGTACAGCCAGGTGGAGCTGTCCCACTTCTTTCACCATCTTTTCTCCCTCCTTGGTAAACCCCCATGCTGGATTATTTTCAGCATACACTACCGTTTTGGTCGAGAGTGCTCTCAAGGGAGTTAAGCAATAACTGTGAGGGTCACTGGCGGCTACAGACAGACCAAGAGAAGGAAAGAAGGAAAAGGAGATAAGAGAGAGGAGAGAGGGGAGAATGTGACAGTTACCCAAGCAACAGGAGCCTGTGTGTGTAGATGAGACACACCGACGTGGCACACGGGCTCAGGGCAAGCCAGGGGAAGACCATGCTGTTCCCTTTCCTCCTTTTCCTCTGACTTTCCACTTTCCCCCTATTCTGTCGCCCTTGATCACCTAACACCTTCCTGTGCCTCCAGACAACACATACTTCATTTATTAGTCTTGCCTTGCTTGGGAAGAGCCTCTGGGAAAGTCTGTGGTGTTGAACTTTACACAGACCTGAGTTTCAAAGTTGGGCTCTGCCAACTTCTGCCAACATGTCTTGGGCAGGAGCTCCTCCTGAGTCAACAGCAGTGCTGCATGTGTAGCAAGTCAGTAAATTGCCCACTGGTCAGTTACCTTCTCATAGTGATTTTGCAGTCAGTGCCCAGGGTGGTGAGCACTGAGGCTTGGCCTTCTGGGAGGTTAGAGGGGGTAGATGAGAATGCTTGGTTGAAGACCTCCCCTGTGAGTGTCTGGCATCTCTGGCTCTCAGGGTTCACCAAGCCTCGGAATCACGCTGGAAAGTGTGTTGAACAGATTGCTGGGCCCTATGCATAGATGTTATGATTCCTGGGTCTGGGATGGGTGGGCGGGAACACACTCTGAGGCCCCCAACCTAATCCAGTGTCCTGTTGGGTCAAAGTGATTTTAAGACCTGCTTTTACGATGCCACTTTTCTGCTAAAAACTTTTCAGTGTACTTCGATATATTTGCTGTTCTCAGATATTTTAAGGTGTAAACTGACAGTAAAATAATTAAGCTTTCTTTGGGCATCCTCTTCTGTTAAGGGTCTCCTTGAAAATGTAAGAGGCCACCAAAAAGCCAACCTTTGAGTTTACAATGCAAGACCTCTAGCCTTCTGACCCTTGGTTCCACACACTCAGCTCCAGGAGCACAGAGTTCACCAGGTATGCAAGTGATTGTCACGAGGAACGGGCATTTATCTCTTAAGGAGATAAGAGAAGTTGTCGTTGTTTTCTACTTTCTACATTTCTGTGAAACTCTGTCCAGACTTGCTCCCTGTATCCTACCTGTACCTGCATGTCAGTCCATGGTGTTTACTCCTCGCCTCACATATCCATATAAAGTGATTTTGTTGGCAGGATGGTTTTATTTCCCTAACACCACAGAATTATTTTTCTCTGGGGCCCACCCTGGCCGCTTGGCTGATGTAATTGTCTTCTCTCTCCCAGGAATTTGGGATCAGGACTGAGAGACAGGGTCTGTAGAGAAAGAGGGAGAGGGTGGGGCAGAGTCACAGAGCAAAGCAGAGGTGCTGATCCTTGGCGTCCTCCCATGCACTTTCAGCTGCGCTTCCTGTCCTGGGTGCCTGAGAGCTGCCCCTTGCCTGAAGTCCCCATCTTTATTTCAGCAACTTGGCCTTGCATTTCTGTCAACTGCAACCAAAATAGTCTAAACTGAGATAGTGCCCCCTGCTCTTATGATGGAGACAGATTCCTGGAGGTGATAATTAAGCTCCCCATCAACTGGTGCCATTTTTCTTCCCATCAGTCATCTCAACACACCACCGGCTACTCTGAATTTCAGGCACAGGCAACTACTTTGAACTCTTTCTACTCTCCAGGCCTTGGGCACGATGTGTGTTATCTCTGAGTATATGTACATTTTCCCTTGTCTTGGCCAATCCCCATTTGGCCTTCAGAGATCAGGTTGGTGTGTCTCTTCTCCAGGGACACAGCTTCTCCACATTCTGAGAGCACCTTGCACTCTTCCAGCCTAGCTTTTACATAAGTGATCCTGATTGCCTTGTGACTTACCTTTCTGCCTCCCTAGATTGTGATTGTGAAGGCAAAGACTGAGACTTGATTGTGGTTGTAGCTGGGTGTCTAAGATAGTCCCCACGAAATCCTTGCCAGGTGAATGAATGATGTGCCTCAGTTATATCACTCCCTTACCCCAGCAGCAGAATGACAGTATTGAATAGAAACAAGAAAATTACTCTGGCCTCAAGCTATGGACTATGATTTAGAAATCCTCTGAGATCAAGAATCCAATATCATCATGTTTGGGGAATATCCCATTACCTTCATTGTGTGTCCCCCACCTCCTCTTAATGATTGTGCCAGAGTTTCTAATTAGAGGAAAGGCTCATGCATTTATTGATTCAAATGTGCTGCATCACTAGGGAGATGTGAGAATAAGGTTAGAATTTAGCATATCAGAAATTCAATCCATTTGAGATCTCTCAAAGAGGTTTGCCCTTGGGTTGTTTAGCACAGACTCTCATAATCACTGGAAATTGTTGTCATGGAAATCATGGAACCTTTCATGATTTTTGTATATGAGTTAATGAAGATACTGGAAACAGCCCAAAGGAATTCATACTTGGGTGTGCATTTGTCTCCATATTAACCCAATCATTGCTTTGAACACGCATCTGCCCCTTGGCCAATTCTCTTGGCTCTTGGTCTTGGCAGGAATAAATAAACAACTGATTTCTATTTACTATTTCAGTCTGGTAGGCTGTGGATGGCTACGCTTTAGGTTTCATTTCAACAGGAAATCCCACATGGAGGGTTTTAAAGGAGCAGAAGAAACAAAGAGTGGTATATGAAGCAAATCTTTGTCTTTTATTTCAAATTATTAATTTTTCCATTCCAAGGCACCTAATTGAATGACTATAAAGAAGTTTCAGTTGGGAGACCACAGAGCATTGACTATATGTAAGACTTTTCTTTATGGTCCTTTATAAATATGGACTTTATTGCTAACTATAATTAATATTATCTTATCAATGAGGCATCTTATTACAAATGTCCCACAAGTCTACAAATTTTGATGAGGATATCTCAGCATGCTAACAACATTCAAGAGAGATTTCTTATCTCTGTCCTGCCTCCACTTATTTCCAGTATCCATTTTCCTTCTTTCCTAGTAACAGAGCTCATTAGCTTTAGCGAGGCATGTAGCTGCTTGATACCAAGACATTTTGCATTCTTCCTTACTGTTGATCAAGGGGATTTAAATGGAAGTGGAGTATTTGATTTTTGGGATTTATCTCAGTATGTCCTCTTCCTACTGACTGGAATGTGGAAATGATGGATGGGGCTGGGGCATCCATTTTGGATAATTAATTTGGAGCCATTATAAGAAAAGCAGAATGACAAGACAGAAGAACCCTGGGTCCCTGAGGATTGTGGAACTTTCATGGAAGTTTGGTCTAACTATGTTTACAGGAGAAAGAAATGTCAGTCTTGTTTAAGCAACAGTTGTTTGGGTTTTCTGTCATTTAATCTTAACTGATAAACTACCTGAAGTTGAAACTTATTTTTCTTATTTCCACTGACTGAGTGTGAAACTTCCTGGGCTCTTTTGGTGAAATTTACCTTCTGATTCCAGGTTCGGCTAGGAGGCAGGCAGTTGTTGCATTAGCCACACTGAATTCTGTCATGGGGAGTTGAGATGCATTTCAATGGTAGGAAAATACCTACTTACCGTCTTAGCCACAGAAATATAGTGTTGCCTGCTTTTCCTATGTGTATTATAAAGTTTTCTAATATCTTTATTCTGTAATCAGGACCCCTGTACCAAAGGCTTTTTGAAATGAGATAGATGATAACTAAGAATCATTCCTATTTAGTCGGACTGCAAAGTAGTTGAAACCAAAAACCAAAACCAAAACTCAACACCTTCCAAAATATCTGAAGCTAGTCTTCCATCTGGGCGATACAAGCCTTCAGCAGAGGGGAGTCGGAACTACATTTTTACTTACTGAGCTTTGGTCTTTTACTCTTCTTTGTCACTTCTTTGTTTGAATGTATTCCAGTCACCAGCAAAACTACATAAAGAAAAAAAAATCTAATCAACACTATTTCACTAAATACTTTCTTTTAAACTTTGTATGTCAAGCACACATTAAAATATTCTCGTGGCCCTCCCTGGTGGCGCAGCGGGTTGGAGCACAGCACTGAGAATCTGAAGCCACTTCCGCATGGGTTCGATTCCCGCCTGCCGCCTGCCGGGAGGAGACCACATGGCGAGCCAGACCTCTCCTGGCCCGCCCGCTGCTTCCCTCAGCAGTGTACTTCGTAGATCTGCCTGTTCTGCTCCTCACTCTGTCTCTGGTGAGGCTTCTCACCGTCCCTGAGCCTCTGGCCTGTACCCCAGTTCTGTGTGCACAAATAAATAAATCTTTAAAAAAAAAAAAATATTCTCGTATGTGGAACTCATGTCCCCTTTAATTAAATCTGGGGAAATACTATGGATTTAGGTGGCTTTCTTAGCCTCTACTGAAAGGGCCTTTCCAAATTACTTCCTGGATGCCTGTCCTTTGTTTCACAGTTCTTAAATGTCATCACACCAACCCTAACATCTCTATTTTTCAAGGAGGGAATGTGGACTTGGAAAAACCCACAGAATTGCTTGGTCCCAGGAATAGCTGACAGAGGTAGGATGAGACGCAGACCCTTCTCCTGCTCGTCACACTAAATGTCCAGTAGCCAACTTCCAGTGTCCAGAGAGAAGCAGGTGTGTGTCTGTGTGCATGAGTGTGCATGTGAGTGTGACAAAGGGAGGCCTGAAGGGAGGAGACATGGGACCAGGCTCAGAGGTGGGTGTCTGGGAAAGAAAGACAAGGAAAAATGGAGCAGGGGAGAGAGAGTCTTGTCAGCAGAGGCGAGGTGTGACCCGAGAATCCCTAGTGGTCTGCTCTGGCAGCACATGGTTCTGTGTTCACTGAGGCAGCTGGAGGCAATGGAGTCTCCACCTCAGAGACAGGAGCGGAACTTCCAGCAGCCCTTGGTCACAGGACGTAACACCATTCGGGAAGAAGGGGACTCTAGTCTGGTTAATTTAAAGTCACATTATCAGCCAGGGCCTTATGTTTTTAAAAACAGTGGCTGAAATAATAATAAATATTTCTAGTAGAAAGCACAAAACTACAAGAAATATGAATGAACACAAAATTATAGTATTTTCAGTCTTTTTCTAAATGATACATGTATTCATATGGATGCTTTTATTCAAACATTTGGTCAGGCTCATACTGCTTAGAATGTTTGTTTTATAATTTATTTCTACATAATCATATATACAAACATCTTCTTTTTGTTATTTAACATCCCTCACCATAATTTTAATTGCCTGCAAAGTATTGCAAGGTACATATCATAAGTTAGCTAATTCCTGATTGAATACAAATAGATTCATTTTTGTATCGATTCATCATTTTCTTTAAATGCATTTACAAATAGAATTTTTTTGTCAAAGTCATGCCACTTTAATATATATCCTTTATATAGAAATATATATTAAATGTATTAAAATATCATGCAAAATTTCCATAGCTTTTTTAAAATTAACAGCATCTGATAAAGCTCACATTGCTTCACTTGCACTAATTCTACTTTAGACAGAAAAGCAGTTTTTGCTTTCAGATGTCTAGTCAATTCTTTATCTTTCCTTTCTCTCCAGGCTATTTCCAAACTAACCCAAAAATGGTAACACACTTCACTTTACCTTTATTTTTAGCCACTTTTCTAAGAACCCCTCTTTCTGGATGCAAACATGAAGCAATAGAAGAATTAGAATAGACATTTTGCTTTCCAGTTTATATGCTTGTTTAGTAACAGAAGTGCTTGCTTTAGTCATTAGTCATGGATTTAGAAAGTCTTGAATTGGCAACTGTCTTTGAAGGAAAAAGTAGCACTGTTGGAAGTGTTAAGAAAACTTTCTTTAAACAATGATTAGCTAATTTAAGTGATCTTCAGTTTTGACTGTAAGCATTAGCTGGGGCCTGGATAATTGATACCGTGTCCTGCAAGAAAAGAAACATTAAAGAAGCAAAAGTGAGGACCATGAGTCTTGCCAGGTAGAATGAGGCAGACTGATTTTAGGTTCGAGTGGGTGTGACTGTCATGGAGGTCTAATTTCTGTGTCATTTAATTCTGTGCAAAACCCACATTTTTAGTTTACACACAAAAGTGAATAACTAGAATTCTAGATTACTTAAAAAAAAACAATGCTGCTACTAAATTATCTTCAGTTTTGACTAGTAGCATTAGCTGAGACCTGGATTATTGCACAACATGGATATATAGAAAAAATTAACTTACATAGAGGGAGAAATTAAATAAGAATAAATTGGGTATCAGTTCTTATGGAAACTAAATACTGTTCTTGGCCTGTGTTCTGTGGCAAGTGGTTTGTAAGTCTTAGCACCATAAAGATTATAAATATTTCGGTAAGACCACCCCATCATTCATATTTGCTCACCCACGACCCTCCAGGCTGAAGATACAAGGAGCTGGGCTCCGTTTTACAGCAGTGGTTAATAAAGTCATCGTTTTCAATGTGTACAGAGGCCCTCTCTCAGCTTAGATGCTTGTTAATTAAAGCTCCCAGGCCACTCCAAAAGAGGAAGGCTGTCAATAGCCTGCAAATGTGCTCGTGGCCCTGACAGGCCCTCATTCTCCAACAGCAAGACCTCTCTTACTATCTTGGAAAAGGTGAATTGTGCCTAGAGCTTGAGCGAGACTGAAAATCAGACTTGGGTGTTTTTCCTTAGGAAGTCAGGCAGATCCCTGAGATGGATGATTGATGCTCAAAATACAAAGCAGAGGCAGCTCCTGCCCACCTGTGACTATGTAGGCATCTCTCTTTCTCTCTTTTTCCTAGTAAACCTGCCCTTCTAAAATGTAAGACCAAAACAATCAAACAAAAACCAAACAAACAAAAATACAAAGCGAAATCTAGATCTGAAAGTCAGTCCCTTCTGTGGGAGTAGGTGGGTATCTGGGTACTAAGGCCACTGGGTCTAGGTGCCTTGAGGAATTGTTCAGAACCCAAAGTTCCAAGGCACTGGCAATTTACCAACTCTGAAGCAGTGCACTCAATTAAAAAAATCCAATACTGAACTTACGGAAGGCGTCTGTGCTCACTGCTTCCCCACCAACACACTCGAGATTTGTAGCTGAAAGTTTCATACTTTTCACTAGCAGTGCTTGAAATTTCCAAACAAATTAAGTACTTATATGATTTGACTTTAAAAAAGTTTCCCCCACTTCCTCTCCAGTATATTTAAGAGAAGTGAAGCATAAAGGTTTTAAAAGCCAATTAATAAAAAATATTTATAAGCATGGAAAATACAAATGAATAAGCTTGAAACAATGCCTGACCTCATTAATAAAGAAATGCAAGCTAAAACAAAATGATGGGGTATTTTTTCATGTCAGTATACATTGAACACAAGAGTATACTTTATTCTGGCATGTATTTGGGGTTAGGGCATTCCAATATATTATGGGGAAAGTCTAAGTAGGCGGAGTCATTATGGAAAGTCATTTGAAAACATATTTCAGTAGTCTGAAAAATATTGGTACCCTTTGTCCTAAGGATATATCCCTAGCTATAATTAGAAATATAGACAAATATTTATGTAAATAAAACATGTCACATTACAGCATTATGTCTAAAGACAAGCTGGAAATAATGAAAGTTGAAAGTGTCCCTCAAATGGTGGCATCTTACTCATTTCTTACAAACGATGGACACAAGGTGCACTGGGAGGTACTCAGCCTTAACCTAAGAATGACTGATAAAACTAGAACATAGGCAGGGAAAAATAACTGAAATAAATGCACCAAAATATTCAGAATGTTAAGGTGATATCCCTAGCCTATATCTTCTGTATAGTTTCCATTTTATAAAATATTCCTTATATATACTGCATAGAATAGATTTCATTTGCAACTGGAGAAAGACAACATAACTATTTTAAATTTTGTCATATTGCAATCCTATGGACTAACAATAATGAAACATGCTTCCTAAAGTCATTAACCTGGTGAATACGTGCTGGTGTTCCAGTCTTCCTATCAGTAATGAATTATAGTCGCAGTCCAGTTACTTTCAAGAAGAGTCAAAATATAGACCACCCAATCAATATCAAATCAGTAAAGACTAATACTTAGAGAGTGTAGGCTTGGGGCAGGAGGCAGCTGGCTGGGTGGGTGGTGTTTCTTAACCCTCAAGGGTGGGGGGAGGCTCACCCTCAGCATAACATAGGCCTGTAGCCTGAAGGCTCCCACAGTGCAGCTCTGCTTTGTCTCATTGGTATTATCAGTTCGTAGCTGGCCTTAGAATTTGACTTTATTTGGAAATAAGGTCATTGCAGGTATAAAATTAATTCAGGACAGTCATACTGGAGTAAGTTGGGCCCCAAGCCAATAGGACTAGTCATTAATGGGGGGGGGGGTGGTGAAGCCACAGACATGCTTGCAGGAAGAATACCCTGTAGCAATGAGGGAAGAGATAGGGGACATCAAGAATGCCAAAGATAGTCAGCAAATCACTGGAAGTTAGGAGAGAGGTGTGGAACAGCTCTCTGAGGGAGCCAATGCTATCAATACCTCGATTTGGGATTCCTAGTCTCAAAATTCTGAGAGCATAAAATCTGTTGTTCTAAGCCCCCAATTTGTGGTATTTTGTCACAATATTTCTAGTAAACTACTACATATTGGGGGTCCTCCCACCCTCCTCTGTCAGTAGTTTCAGAGTGACCCCATGGCACTATACCTGACGAGGCCACAGCACAGTGTGGTCAAGATCCACTGAAGTATGGACTTCATGACTCAACAATTAATACAGACAAAAAGGTTCCTTTGAGACAAGGTTAGATTGGCGAAATTATGTTAAGTGAAATAAGAAGGTGAAAGATATCGGTTGGTTTCGCTTATTTGTGGAATATACAAACCAAAGAGCACATACTGGCAAAACCAATAGTTAGACTCGATGTTTACCTGAGGGCCTAGAGGGAAGAGGAAGGTGGAGGAGAGGTCATGGACACAGGATTTTGGTGGAGGGGGAGTGGAGCATATACATATGCAGAGGTGTGAAATGTATCCCCAAAGTTACATAGGTATGTACATGACTGGTAACTTAATAAACATACTAACATGTGATGACCCTTGGGTTTTAGTGCTAAACCCATTAGCACTTCCTCCTTTTCTAACAAATATACTGCCCCTTGGGGCCTCCCCAGAATTGTGTTCTCTTGTGTTAGTGCACAAGGCCAAGTCAGTGACAAAGAATTCCCTTTTTGAGAAATGAAGAAATAGGAAATTCCTAAATTCAGAATGTGTTAATATTCCCTGTCTAAAATATTTGCTAGTTGCTGAAGAATACATAATGCAAAAACATGAATAAATATGTCTGTATGAAAAACAGTCACGTGTAATACATATATTTGCTTCATAGACATATAGATTCTAAATTTGATCTATTCTTATAAGTCTCACTTAGACTTCTCTCCAAAATGTTTACCATAAAAAAAGATGCCCTGTGCTCTTTATGTACTTTATCTTGGTTTAAATCTTTTCTTGGCAAAATTCTTTGGACCTTAGGAGAATGCTAAAAGTGCATCCAGATACTCATATAAAAGTACTTACCAAGGAACATTTCAATAACAGATGCCTTCATAGTGAGGACAACAATCCCCATAAATTTCAAAATGGCACCCTGGAGAGGAAGAAACAATAACATCATCATAGTTCAGCCAAGAGTTGTGAATTGTACATGGCGTGTGGGGAGGGGTAGCTTTATTTTATATCACTCTCTGGAGTCTCCCAACTCCGAGCTGAGCTTTCTCTAAGCAGTTCCTGGAGATGGCGGTGGCTCTTTCCAGAGGCTCTTCTCAGTAAGAATCTCATTCTAACACAAGCCTCCTTCTGAGGCTGGTCTTGGAACTAAAGAAGAAGTAATTCCACAATTTCAAGGATATATTTGGTCAGTCTTCAAGTTAGGATGATAGTTACACTTATGGTATCTAGCAACATCTTTAGATCCCAATTGCATTTATCATTTAATCAGTCAACATTACACTATTATATGGTTATGCACTGTTAGGAAGGAGGTGATAAAAATTGAATTAAAAGCCACTAATTGCACTTAAAAGAGTTAGAGTTTAAAAGAAGAATGAAAACATACAGACACTAATGATGAACACAAAATAGGTGGATCTTGAGGAGATGATGGAAGCTGAAACAAGTCAGAAAGTGAACCAGCCAGATACTGGATGGTTTTATGCATTTGTGGAATATAAATAGCTAAAAAGCACATACTAGCAAAACACACTGAAAACAGTTATTAGACTCTGGAAAGAACTTGTTGTTTACCAGAGGGTTATGGGAGGGGAGTTGCCACAAGGAAGTATAAGGGTTTATAGAGCAGTGGTTGTCAAACTTTGCTGAGTATTCGTATCACCTGGAAGTTTTTGACTGTTCTGAAAACCCTGATGTATTGGCTCTGTCTCAGACCCACTGAGTAAGAAAATCTTAGGGGTGGTCTAGACATGATGTTTTTAAAAATCTCCCATCAGGTCAGTTTGAGCCTCAGCAATTTAGAACAAGGCTTCCTAACTCTAAATGCGCTGAGGATTCACTTTGTTAAAATTGTAAACATAAGGAAAAGTTTTCTGGAGCATCCCACCCTGGTCTGTTGGGCAGAGGGGCAAACTACGCCCACCGGCTCCATCTTGTATGCGACCCGCTGCCCTGCGTAATGGTTTTAGTTTGATCAGGAATCCTTCCCCTACTCCTGTCTCTAGGGCCCTTGGACATCTTCCAGTCAAAGATTGTGAGCACACAAGAGTGGTCACTTTCCTTTGTGCCCATGGATGACCAGACCCTTAGAATGGGCAAAGTAGGGTTTCCTCCGTAATGGTTTGGGGCCCCTGGGCAATCCTTGGTTTTGCCTGGCATTGTTTTTGGTTCCCTGACTGGGGAATGAGCCTTTCGGAAACAGATCTCATTAAAATGCAGGTTCTAATCCAGTGTGTCTGAGGTATGCCAGAGATTCCCAAAGAGATCTGGGGCAGAGAGCCAGCCTGGCGGAGGTTGGCAGTGCTGGGCACACTTGGGAAGATGAGGAGAGTCTGGCCATTCAGAAATAAGGGAGGATGGTTCCTGCTGTGGAAATTGTGTCATCATAGGCCGAGGGCCCTCCCTGGTTGGCACAGCAGGTTAAAGCACAGCTCTATGAAGCTCTCTGCAGACATTGCAGCATGAGCTCGATCCCCAGCCCAGGGGTGACCCACATGGCACAGCAGATCTCTTCTGATCTTCCCGCTGCCCCCCTCAGCAGCCTATTTTAGTGGATCTGCCTGTTCTGTTCCCCACTCTGTCTCTGGTGAATCCTCTCACCCCCTGCACCTCTGGCCTGTGCCCCAGTTTTTGTATGCATAAATAAGTAAATCTTTAAAAAAAACAACAACACATAGGCTCAGAGATTGGATGCTGTTGATCTGTAAGGGTTTTCCTGCCTTCTATTAAGGCCATGAGAGATATTAAGAAAAAGAAAAACTGAAATCCTACCATTTGCAATAACATGGATGGCATGAGAGGGTATTATGCTCAGTGAAATAAGTCAGATGAAGAAAGACAAACACCATATGTGGTATAGAAAGAAAACAAAAAAGATGAACTAAATAAAACAAAGACAAACTTTTAGACTATAAGAACAGTTAGTGGTTACCAGAAGGTAAGGGAAAAGGGGCTGTGAGTAAGTTGGGCAAAGGGACAACTGTATGATAAAAGAGAGCATTGGACTTCTAGTGGTGAACTGAATGCAGGGCATGTATCTTGCTTTTTCAGTGATGCACACCTGAAATTATATTATGGATAAGGCAATGTTGTTGAACATTGTTTAGATTGTGTTTTAAAAGCGAACTTTCCAACAGTGTAAGACCCCATGTGCCTCTGGGGAACTCTCATGGTATAGTCATACTAGCATTAATTGAACATATACTGTGTGCTCTATATTGTCATGAATACTCACAGGCAGCCATGGGGGAGGGAAGGGGGTAGAATTTATGATACTCTTTGAACAGATGAGCACCAAAGCTTAGAAGGTGAAATGTGTCACTCCCGGTGATCAAGGGGAATTGTTAGATTGGAGGTGGGAGTAGATGGAAAGATTCTGCCCTGGGCAAGGCAGTAAGGGAGAACCCTATAAAGAATTTAGAATTAAAGAGGGTCTACTTTTTTATTATGCTTGTAAACTATAATCCTAAACAATGCCATGATAAACCTCCTCCCTCCCGGGGTGCTCAATCTACATCACCTTATCCCTCCGACTCTGTTATCCCAGGCCGGGGTATTCTGGTAAACCCACTCCCGGAAAGAAAAGTCCTGCTTTGGGGTATTTGTTGATTTCTGCAGTGTAGTTCCTCCTGCCGTGGCTGATGTTGAAACCAGAAAAGCGATAAACCCAATCTGGCACTAGCTAGATCCTGTGCAAGCTTTAGCTAATATTTAGCTACAGGGCTATGTCGAGTTTATTAACAAAAAGCAATTATTAGCTTATGATTGAGGTAATAATATAAGTACCTGATGAATGAAATAAAACTGTTTATAACATGAAAGGTTTTATTACCAACAAATTAGGGAGCAAAAGTAACCCCAAACTGAGCTGATCACATTGAGAATATCCAGAAACAATTGTAATGAGTTACATTTCCCAATGAAGGTAGCTGATCACTGGAGAAACAGCAGGCAAATGGCTTTTAGCTTTATAATAGAAATAAAGTAAATATACAGTCTATTTGACAACTCAGTGCTTAAATAGCTGAGTCTTATTTTGGAAATGTGTGAACAACTTAACATATTTCAGGTCTGAATGGGTATTTTCCTGTGGGGTAAGTGCAGAATGTCCAGTTGCCTGTCGGGACCTAGCTAACCAGCCCCTCCAATTGGCTCTCACCAATTCAGCTTGCAAATGTCATCTGAGTCATCCTTGACTACTCTTGCCCCGATCCCTGACACCTTATCCACCAGCCAAATTCATAATATATCTAGAATATAATCTCCATCAGCACCTGGGCAGACTGTGCCCTCCTTTACCTGGGCTATTGCAGTTAGTCTCCTAACTGGTCTGGCTCCTTCCCCTGCATCTAGTCAGCATTTACTGCTCCAAGTAAATTAGTTCATGCTACTCCTCTGGGAAAAACTTGACCAGGGCTCCCCACGTTAACCAGAATAAAAGCCAATGTCTTTATGGTTGACTCAACACCCTATTTGGCCTGGCCCCGGTTGCTCACCCCCATCTCATTCCCCACTACCCTCCCCTTCCTCACTAAGCTCCAGGCATACCATCTTTCTGGCTGTTCTAGAACATACCTCTTTCCTGACAATCTCTGCAATTCAACTGTTTCCTCTGTCTTGACACTCTGCCCTCAGATAACATGATTTGCTCCTTATTTCTTTCAAGTCTTAAATGTTACTTTCTCTCGAGATATTTCTTAACCATTCAACTTCAAATGCCAGTCCCTTTGCCCCTCACCACAATGTACTGATGTACCCCTTCCCTACTCTCTTTTTTTCCGTGTCACCTTTGGTGTACACTATAGATTTTTTTAAGATTTATTTATTTATGCATACAGAGCTGGGGTACCGGCCGGAGGTGCAGGGGCAGGGCAGTGAGAGGATTCACCAGTCAGAGTGGGGAGCAGAACAGGCAGATCGACAAGTACACTGCTGAGGGGAGCAGCAGGCGGTCAGGAGAGGTCTGCCGCGCCATGTGGGTCACCTCCGGGGAAGGCGGGGATCGAACTCGCGTCTCTGCTAGCCTCACAGTGCTGTGCTTTAACCCTCTGCGCCACCAGGGAGGGTCCACTCTATAGATTTTTATCTTGTTTCTGTTTCTACTAGAATGCAAGCTTCATGTGGACAGGGTTTTTATTTGTTCTTCTATGTGCTCACTAAATATATGTTGAATCAATGACTGAATAGAGCCTCTCCCACAGAAGTTAAAAAGGGAGACCAAGCAAACAAAGGGCAGGCAATCGTGCGAGGATGCTAAAAACTTCAAAACTGCACACTTGTGATGATGTATTTTATGGTATGTATCTCTGTAGGACATGTTGGACTGGACCTTTCCATGCTGAGAAGGATGGATAAAAAACAATAGGATTCCAGGAAACACTCTAAGCCCAGAGGAGCATCCACTCAAGTGCTGACTCATCAGTTATGGAATCCGACCAGAATCACTCTGGCCCCTTGGAATCAAAATAGTTCGCAGCTAATTTCTTACCACTTCAATTTTTCTCTTTGCTTAGTCCATTTATTTATACACTTAAAATGTAGATGTACCTTTTGCAATAGGTGGCAAAGAGTTTTAAACCTCTCTTAACCCTTCTAGGACGGGGGGTGAGCCCCGTTCAGCAATGTCTGCGGGCAGCAGATGTCATCGAGCTGTGAGGAGCAAGGAAATGTTGGAGCATAATTACTTGTGCTCACCAGGGTTTTCACATAAAAGGAACAATGGGGATTTCCAAAGGGTTGTGTTAAGATATGTAATATAAAGAATCCTAATAGAAAGTTCTGTGAAGCCTCATAGTAAAATGAAAATATACATTAATTTAACAAGTAGCCAACCCATTTAATTAGGTCTCTTGTTGCCTGGAGTTAGAATCAGGAAGTTGGTAATAATAATATCACGGTGTATTATATGGGCCTCATAGT